CTGTCACAGTAGGAGTAGCAACCAGGAGCCCTTTTGAATTGCCAGGACCAAGGGCAACTGCCATTTTTGCCCTCCCCCTACATGAGCAAGCCCTGTGTAGAGTAGAATTATGACTTTCTCTCTAGACCATGGAACCCTAGCACAATCTGTAGTTGAGATGGAAGTTTGAAATTAACATGCCTCTTCCAGAGAAGGGGCCAATGTAGACGTAGCCGGACTGTGACAGTGACATTGAAATGCCAAGGGAGATTAGAGAGTCTATCAAAAGAGAAAACTCAATAATAATGGGGGATTTCAATTATCCCCATATTGACTGGGTACATGTCACCTCAGGACGAGATGCAGAGGTAAAATTTCTCGATGCCTTAAATGACTGCTTCTTGGAGCAGCTGCTACAGGAACCCACAAAGGGAGAGGCAATTCTCAATTTAGTCCTGAGTGGAGCGCAGGATCTAGTCCAGGAGGTAACTATTACAGGACCACTTGGGAATAGTGACTATAAAATAATAACATTTAACATTCCTGTGGTGGGAAGAACACCTCAGCAGTCCAACACTAGGGCATTTAATTTAAAAAAGGGGAATTACACAAAAATGAGGAGGTTAGTTAAACAGAAATTAAAAGGTAGAGTGACTAAAATAAGCCGCATGGAAACTTTTTAAAGACACCATAATAGAGGCCCAACTTAAATGTATACCCCAAATTAAAGAACATAGCAAGAGACCTAAAAAAGTCACCGTGGCTTAACCACCATGTAAAAGAAGCAGTGAGGGACAAAAAGGTATCTTTTAAGAAGTGGAAGTCCAATCCCAGTGAGATAAATAGAAAGGAACATAAACGCTGTCAAATCAAGTGTAAACATGTAATAAGAAAAGCAAAAAAAAAAAAAAAAGATTTTGAGGATTAGCTAGCCAAAAACTCAAGAAATAATAGCAAAATGTTTTTTAAGTACATTAGAAGCAGGAAGCCTGCTAATAAACCAGTGGGGCTCCTGGACAATTGAGATACAAAAGAAGCAATCGAGGACGATAAAGCCATTGCAGAGAGACTAAATGATTTCTTTGCTTCAGTCTTCATGGCTGAGGATGTTAGGGAGATTCCCAAACCCGCACAGTCCTTTGTGGATGATGAATTTGAGGAACTGTCCCAGAGTGAAGTGTCATTAGAGGAGGTTTTGGAACAAATAGAAAAACTTAACAGTAACAAATCACCGGGACCAGATGGCTTTCACCCAAGGATTCTGAAAGAAGTCAAATGTGAAATTGCAGAACTGTTAACTGTGGTTTGTAACCTATCCTTTAAATCAGCTTCTGTACCCAAGGACTGGAAGACAGCTAACAAAACTCCAATATTTAAAAAGGGCTCTAGAAGCAACCCTGGAAATTATAGGTCAGTAAGTCTAAGATCAGTACTGGGCAAATTAGTCGAAACAATAGTAAAGAATAAAATTGTTAGATACGTAGAAGAACATAATTTGTTGGGCAAAAGTCAACATGGTTTCTGTAAAGGGAAATCATACCTTACTAATCTATTAGAGTTCTTTGAAGGGGTTAACAAACAAGTGGACAAGGGGGATCCAGTAGGTATAGTATACTTAGATTTCCAGAAAGCCTTTGACAAGGTTCCTCACCAAAGGCTCTTGTGTAAATTAGGTTGTCATGGGATAAAAAGGAAGATCCTTTCATGGATTGAGAACTGGTTAAAAGACAGGAAACAATGGGTAGGAATAAATGGTAAATTTTCAGAATAGCGGTGTTCCCCAAGGTTCAGTCTTAGGACCAATCCTTTTCAATGTATTCATAAACAATCTAGAGAAAGGGGTGAGCAGTGAGGTGGCAAAGTTTGCGGATTATACTAAACTGTTCAAGATAGTCAACACCAGAGCAGACTGTTAAGAACTTCAAAAAGATCTCACCAAACTGAGTGACTGGACAACAAAATGGCAAATGAAATTTAATGTGGATAAGTGTAAAGTAATGCACATTGGAAAAAATAACCCCTACTGTACATACAATATGATGGGGGCTAATTTAGCTACAACTAATCAGGAAAGAGATCTTGGAGTTATGTGGATAGTTCTCTGAAAACGTCCACGCACTGTGCAGCAGCAGTCAAAAAAGCCAATAGGATGCTAGGAATTATTAAAAAGGGGATAGAAAATAAGACAAAGAATATCTTACTGCCCCTATATAAAACTATAGCACACCCACATCTTGAATATTGTGTACAGATGTGGTCTCCTCACCTCAAAAAAGATATTTTGGCATTAGAAAAGGTTCAGAAAAAAGCAACTAAAATGATTAGGGGCTTGGAACAGGTCCCATATGAGGAGAAGCTAAAGAGACTGGGACTTTTCAGTTTAGGAAAAAGGAGACTGAGGGGTGATATAATAGAAGTATATAAAAGCATGAGTGGTGTGGAGAGGGTGAATAAAGAAAAGTTATTTTCTTGTTCTCATAATATAAGAACTAGAAGACACCAAATGAAATTAATAGGTAGCAGGTTTAAAACTAATAAAAGAAAGTTGTTCTTCACACAGCACACAGTCAACCTGTGGAACTCCTTGCCAGATGAGGCTGTGAAGTCGAGGACTATAACAGAGTTTAAGAAATAGCTAGATACATTCATGGAGGTTAGGGCCATAAAAGGATATTAGATAGGGGGTAAGGAATGGTGCCCCTGGCCTCTGTTTGTCAAAGACTGGAGAAGGATGGCAGGAAACAAATTGCTTGATCAAATTGCTTTGGTCCATCCCTTCTGGGGCACCTGGTACTGGCCACTGTCAGAAGACAGGATATTGAGCTAGATGGACCTTTGGTCTGACCCAGTATGGCCATTCTTATGATCTTATGTTAAGCTAGGCTATTGGATGAGCAACATGCCCTAAAGTCCCAGGACTTCTGCACCCAGGATTTAGGCCATGTTTTGATAGTAGTTGTCCCCTCATCTCATTTATTCACACTGACAGGATGAAGAAGAAGAAGATGTAAATTTCTGACACTTTGTAGACAGAGATGACAAGCATTTGCTGAAATCAGTCATGCTAGAATTGCAGGACAGTCGTGTGTTTGCATTAATAGTGCGAGTGATTGTAATATAAAATAAATCTTGTTTACACTGGTGTGGTGTTTTACTTTTTATCCTGAAATTATTAGTAGAATGATACATTTGAGGTGAAACCTTCTAGATACATGTTTTTATATCCTCGTTCTGGGGCCCATCCAAAGCACATGGAACCTTCTAATTGATTCAGTAGGCCTTGTTATGCCAACTTGTTAATGAACTTTCCAATGATTCTTCTAAAGAGATACATACTCTAAATTGAACCTGATTATCAATGAAATGCACCCAGTCCTTCAAAGACATGTTTGAGCACTTTACATCTTGCAATGTTGGGGAACAATATTTGGTTACTTCAGGCCCTTCACAGTTTTTCCAAAATGTGCTTTTAACATACCTTGTTGCATGAAAAACATAAAGTGGCTTTATTTCTATGAGTTTTCATAAGTGCTATGGAAAACAATATTTAAGGCTGCAATTTTAGGCACTTGTATCATTTAGCATAGGATTTGCAAACGGGGCTTCAAGAATGCTCAGAATGGTGTCTATTGATGATAAGCGCATGCACTTTATCGTTGATAACCATTGTGTTAAAAATGAGAAGCTATTGAAAATGTGCATTTTCATGCACTGTCGGAACAATAGATTTGTGTTTGTTTTGCAGTTGTTGGTTGGTGATGGTGATGATTCTTGGTACACTTGGTTTGTTGGTGCCTATTGTTGATAAGCACATGCACTTTATCTTAGATAACCATTATGTTAAAAAACATGAATTGCAGCATTATGAGAAGATAAAATTAATAATACAGATGGTAATTTGATAGGGGGTGCAATCCATACTTCAATACAGCTACAAGAGTCTTTCCTTTTAAAGTGTTAGTATTCATAGAAACATAAACACACACACACACACTTTGATTTTTTGATGCACTTCTGAGACCTTTCATGTATCTTTGATTAATTCTTATATAATTCAGGCTAGGGAAGAGGTAATAGGTAGAAAAAAATAGGTACTTCTGACTCCAAATCCATTCCTATTTCAGTAATGAGGAGTTGTCAGCTATAATTAGCTGAAAATGGGCAATTTTACTGTTTGGAATACAAAATACAGATTATCAGAGGTAAAAATAAGGAGAGATATTTGGGGAAAGCTATTAAGGACAAAATTATGCCTAAGTCTAAATGATCATAAATGGACAGATGTTAGCAGCAAGGTAGCAGATGTCCTACAGTAATACTCAAGAGGAGAGTAGTTCTCATTCAAAACCCCAGAAATGTAATATAATTTGGAGAGACAGAGGATATATATCCTTTTTGCTTAGTGAAAACAACACTCACTCATTCCTTTTCCTTCATGTTTGAAAACTGATCTGATGCAGACTTATTGCAGCTATTTGAAAGCTGCTGATGTCAGACCTTTTTTTCCTTTGGCAATAGCTAACATTTTGAATATTTAATAGGACCACCTCCTATCTTTTCAATCAGGGACCACCTGGTAATGAATAATCTCTTTGGTGATTGGTGATAACATTATCTGCTAAGAATTATGGTGGTGCCTAAATTCAGAATCCAAATTCTCCACAGTTACGTCTAAGCAAACATTAAAAAAACATAATTGGACCATGCAGGTAATTTCTAAGTTGCAGTTGGGCATATGCCTCGCACTAGACACACATTAGTTCTGCTCAAGCAAGTATGCTAAAAATATCAGTGTGGTTGTTGCATGAGTAGAAACACAAGTTAACTGCCCCAGGACAAGCCCACCAAGCCACCTGGGTCCAAACTTGGGTATTTCACTAAGCCTCCCTGCCTCCCTGCCCATGTTGCAATATCCACACTGATATTTTTAACTCACCAGCTTTGCTTGAGTTAGCTCCTGGTCTCAGCAGTGGTGTAGACATACCCTGAAAGGATAGCCAGGAAGAAGAACGTGGACTCACCTGATCTGAAACTCAATGATACCATGATAGCCTTTGCATTGACTCCTATGGGATTTGGATCAGGCCCTGACAGAAATGGTAAAAACTGAAACAACAGAGGAAAAAAGAATGAAAACAAGTCTGAAAAGTGTCCATTTCAGTAAATATACTACAAGTGTCTTCAATATAAGTGGAAAAAAAGCAGCGTTGGTTGTAATATGTTGTCAGATTGCACTTTCATCCATGCTAAAAATAGATATGGTTAAAGTCATAAAGCGTATATTTTTAATTTGCCATCCGGTGAAGCTGAAATTGATGAACATAAAAGATATCACCATACTTAATGCAGATCAGGCTGCTATAAAAATTCATACTTGGCAGGACAATAAAACTGAAGTCCAAATCTGTTACTGTCCATAGTGGTCAAAGACTGTCCAAAAATGAGTTGGGTAACATATATGTCTCACAGGCACCATTACATCAAACAAACATCAGTTGTCACTTGTTGGGGCCATTAACTAGACAAGTCCAAAATAAAACGCAGACCAGAAAGGACATGTCATGCATTCTATAAATTGTATGGTCTGAGAATCTATTAAAGCTGACAGGGAAGAGAGCTCTGAATTGGTGAGCAGGCTGATTACACCTCATTCTGTATTCCCTATTGACTTTGGTTATGCCATACCTTTCCATTTCCTAGAGAAATAAATTAAAAGTCAGAAGTAATTTGCCTGATGGAGGGTGCAAGTGGAATTTTGCTCTGAAGAGCATTCGCACACTGTGAAAGCCAATTTAACCCCTTAATGGGGGATAGCTTATTTTCTTTTGTTGACAGCTTTGTGGCAGCTAAAATAGGAACCTGATTAAATAGAGACAGTGAGAGATTGAGGTCTTGTTCTAACAGCAGCCGGATCAAGGCCTCTAATCTTATCTCTCAGAACACTGAGATGAACTAAAGATGTTGGCAGAGAGATAATCCTGGCTATTTTTGAGCTGTAAAAGACCCCAGCAAAAAGAAACAGGGGAAATGTGGGAGATATTTTTCACACATAATAATAACATTACATTGTTTAAATACATTTGGATCAAGAGCTTGAAATTCATGTGGCATTATAAAAGTAGAGCTTTCCTCTTATTCTCCAGGCTTGCATCAGAATAGGAAAAGCAAAACAACTCACTCATTCACAAAGAAAATATACAGGTGATGAAGCTTCCAAACATTTATAGTCATCTTGAAATATAGTAATATAGTCTGGTAAAAATCATGATTTCTGACAAAATGAATAGATGACTACCAGGATATAACTATCTTTTTCATATTTTGAATGTTCCCATACATGGAACTATTAAGCATTAAAGCACTTTTCTTAAATGCAAAGCTGGATGCAAAATGGAAGAAATGATTGAGTGAAAAATATTCAAATGTTGAAGTTGTTTCCATGTCATAGTGTAGTAGTCAATTGTGGAAGAACTTTGTACGTATTAGTTTAGGAGTGGTGAGGCCTGCATTCTTTCCCCCCTTTCCCTTTTCCCTATATCTGATGAGCCAGAAGCAAGTCTTTGGGAACATATGCCACTTAAGATAAGCATTGTTGCCAGTATAGCAAGAACAAGTATGAGATAATGGTAAAGAGCAAGAACGCATAAACAATTCTGTTTTCCCTAATGTACTGATCACGTAAACAGGGCCAAAGGACAAGAAGATCCAGATCAGAACCAGATCAATAACTAACAGCTAAGCCCTACATCAGCACTAATGAGCAAGCACTGGAAATTTCCAAACTGCCAAACAAGGCAGGAAAATTGTGTTTACGGCTGCCTCAGAGCCTAGCAAATCGGACCTCACCGATGGGCTTTGGGTACCGGCACTTCAGAAGATGAGACAACCTCCCACTTTGTCCGTAGCCTACCCAGGGTCCCAGGCTTGCAGGAAGGGATGTAAGATATGCCACTTTTTTGTTATATTGTTCTTCCAGTTATGGGGCACAGCTGTTAGCTGTCAAGAAATAAACTGTTTGTATTTGACAGATACCTGTGTAGCATCCTTTGTACTTTGGGGACCCAGTGTCAGACCTGAGACTTACTCTTGCCGACTACACATAGGTTTCAGAATTGAATTAGTCTTCCTTCCTTTAATATTGTTTAATTTTTTTAAACACTTCAATATGTTGATAAATTTAGTCTGCTTTCTCCTTTTATTCCTCCCCAAATGAAGTAATATAAATGACATGCACATTAGGTTCCTCATCCCCATTTTTAAGAAGTTGAAAAATTACAGGGTTCTGGCAGAAAAAGGAAATGGCAAAGTGTAAAAAGGCAAACCAGGTATGGATAGAATTACTTGTATTGAATTTGGTGGAGAGAAGGGGAGATGAGAAAAGGAAAAAGGAGGGATTAAAGAAAAAGACCTCACAATTACAAAATGTCATAATGTTTAATTTAAATTAAACACCACATTTCTTGAGATTTCTCTAAAAAATACTTTTCAGTGTTGATTTTTTTAAAAATTTTATCTTTTTTTGGTTGGAGAGAGATTGCAACTTAAAATTTGGAACCACTGTAAAATATATACAAGACTCTCAGCTGTTATACATCATTATAATTTTATTTACCTCAGTATGAAGCCATAATTGTATACTCCAGTTGAGAAGCCAGGCAGTTCTGGAGGGATCACATGGGATTTTGAGTCTGAGCCTTTTCCCACTTGGATATACTTTCAAAACTCCACTGATTTAAGTATGAGAAGGATCGGAACCGATTGCTAGCTCTCTAACGAGACACCTTTAATTAGAAAGGAAGCAAAAGTAACAGGAGTGTTGTGACACCAGTTTTATAAAATAAATAGATCTAGTCACTATAAGCATTTTCTTAAAACATGGGATAAACCCAATTCTGTTTGTAGCATTTGAGTTTACATTCCCCATTTGAATTGTGCTTTTTAATATGATGCAAAGTCAAAATTCTCATCTCCAATGTGCGTTATTGATCTCTGTCACACACTGCAGCACCTCTAATGGAAATCTAAAGTAGAGCTTGAGAAGGATAATTTTGCTCAGACTTTCACATGCTATTTTAGTCACTGCTAATGATCTCTGGTCAAGGTCAAATTTTGCCCTTGGAGCTCAATGATGAATGTCATCTTGATTTTTTTTTTTTTTTTTTTGCAGTCCCAATATGCTTTAATGTCAGTAGGCCAAACTGTGTCCATGGATATCACTGTACAACTGCCATGGGCCCAGAAGCATTTGCATGTTGATGTCCAAAGCCAGAATTTTGCTTACTGAGATATTGGTGTCTTTAAAGAGTACAGAAAATCAGACTCACTTTCCACTCTATTAACATGAGAGCAGAATTTTGCCCTAACTCTCTCTCTTTCTCTTTTTTATGTGCCATGCAACATACATTGTTAAAATCACTTGCAAAATTGTTTTTACTCCTGTAAGGCTTTTTGAGAAAAGTAGAAAAGCTATTTAAAATTAATGACAGCGTCAAGATTCATAAAAGGTTTCATTTCTTGTCTTTCTTGCTCTCTCTTTCCTTCTCTCTGATGATTTCAGAATATCACTCTAATAAACTAGTAGACTAGTAGTGGTTTGACTAGATAAGTATGAATAGCTTAATGGCTGTCATGTATATAAATTCTGCTTGTCACTTAGTACTTTATTATTATGCTCATATTTAAAGTTTTATACTTACAGGTTAGATTATTTTTAATCAGGTAAAATTCAGTTTGAGAGACATCTATTGGTTTATCTAATAAATTCAGTTAAAAGATTTGCATGAAGTAGAAAATAAAATGGAAAAGAGGGGAAAAAAGGCATTATCTCTTGAATTGCATACAATGGAGAAGGATTTATTCAAAATGGCTTTGTGTTTCATGCCTTATATGTATTTCTGAACATATATTTAAGACCTAATATGAAGATAATTGGGGGCCAAATAATTTTAAATAGGATTTTACTTTTCCACACAAAAATACATGCACAGTTGGTCATCTATGTTTGTGTGTGCAGACATTAGAGCTTTGTACTCACATGTAGTACTTACATGGACAAACTGACAGCTGGATGTCTAAATTGTGTAACACCTGATTTTTAGGGGAATTCACAGTAATAATTAGTTCATTTGCCCTTCAATTGGGCTTTTTTTTTTAATGTGGGCCTTCTATTGATACATAACAACTTTTCTTGAAATATTCCTTTCTGAGATAAGAAGTTGTTTTAATGGAAGCCAAATAGTGTGTTTCAAATTCTGCCCTACAAAATCCCATGAAGAGAGAATTTTCCCCTTTAGAGACTTCTGACATGACCCTTTGAGCAGTGACTCTGTGACACCAATCTATGACACAGTTGGAGTCAAGATGATCACACATGGGCTACGTCTACACTGGCATGATTTTCCGAAAATGCTTTTAACGGAAAACTTTTCCATTAAAAGCATTTTCGGAAAAGCATGTCTAGATTGGCAGGATGCTTTTCCGCAAAAGCACTTTTTGTGGAAAAGCGTCCGTGGCCAACCTAGACGCGGTTTTCCGCAAAAAAGCCCCGATCGTCATTTTCGCGATTGGGGCTTTTTTGCGGAAAACAGTACTGTGCTGTCTACATTGGCCCTTTTGTGCAAAAGTCTTTCGGAAAAAGACTTTTGCCCGAACAGGAGCAGCATAGTATTTCCTCAAAAGCACTGACAATCTTACATGAGATCGTCAGTGCTTTTGCAGAAATTCAGGCGGCCAGTGTAGACAGCTGGCAAGTTGGAAAAACTTGCCAGTCTAGACACAGCCATGGTGAGAAAGATCATTCATGATACTAACAGTAGCCGTGTGTGTTATGGCTGTTGTGCTTTTTGTCTTCAAACCCACCCTCCACAAATGAAGATGTGCCACAATATTTAGCTGCATTTTCACTGGTGAAATGTTCCTTTTATTGAATTTCTGAGCTCTTTTAAAGCACGTTGGTATCTTTCTGGATGAAAGTCACTGTATAAATATTAGATCATTATCAGAAGTGCATATCCATTTTAAAGCTGACTGCCACTAAAATCTTTCAGACAATCTCAGCACTGTCTAACAAGGTCTGATTGTGTCTGACATTCACTCTATGCTTAATGTAACATCCCATTAGGTAGTATGTAGAGGCACTGCCATATGGAGAGGAGGGGAACTATACTAGGCAAAACATAATTTTGGTTCCCAAATCTTCCACAATGCCTTAACTTATTGAAAATAAGGAAACTAGAGGGATCCATTAGCTTCCGTAGCATTATAATGATTTGGGAGTTCTGTGCGTACAACTTTTTAAAAATTCTGTTTGATATTAATTGTTGATCACTTTAACAAATTTCAAACTCCATTTTGCTATCTTTGATGTCCCTTCAACTCCGTGTTATATTAAAATTCAGTTTTGATAATAGAATTGTGTTAAATTTGGATGGTCATCTATTCAAATACAAACATTGTCAACAATAGGCTGGTTACAACCAAGTAAAATTTGTTTTTCAGGGGACCCATTGCCACCCGGTATTGGTCTTGGATCATCTGAAAATTATACTCCAAATGTCACCTGGCAAAGGGACCAGAAGGTTATAAAAGGGCAGGAAGTGATTTATTTGGGGTCTTGGATTATTTTCACATAAATTCAGTCAAAATATTTGCATGAAGAAGGAAATGTTTGCTCAGTCAGAGGGAAACTGATGAGTTTTGGGGGAATCCTGCCTATCTGAACTCAGGTGGGCTCTCTAGGGGCACAACTAAACTACATTCCTCTGCTAAAAGAGGAATGCAAATGAGCCCAATCGAAAATGTAAATGAAGCATGGATTTACAAATCTCACACTTCATTTGCATAATTGCGTGAGTGCGCTTTTTCAAAAAAGGGTTTTTCGAAAAAGAAATCGCAGTCTGGATGGGGTTCTTTAGAAAAAAACAACCCCTTTTTCAAAAGAACCTGTATTCATGAAAAAATGAGGAGTACATGTTCTTTCGAAAAAGGATTTTATTTTCAAAAGAACCCCGTCTAAACTCCAAGATTTGTAAATCTGCGCTTCATTGCATTTCCGATCGGGCTCATTTACATTTCTCTTTCAGATGAGGAATGTAGTTTAGCTATAGCCTGGGACTTCAAAGGGAAGAGTGAGTTAGAATGGAGCCACTGGACAGTCAAGATGCTAAGGGAGCTCTCAAGGATGATAAGGCAATTGTGGAGAAACTAAATTAATTCTTTGCATCTGTGTTCATAGTTGAGGATGTGAGTGAGATTCCAAAACCTGAGACATTCTTTTTAGAAGCCAACTTGAACTGTCCCAGTTTGAGGCGTCAGTAGAGAAGGTTTCAGAATAAATTGATAAATTAAGCAGTAATAAGTCACCAGATGGTATTCACCCAAAATTTCTGCAGGTACTCAGATGGTAAATTGAAGAACGAGCAACCATGATTTGTAACCTATAATTGAAATCAGCTTCTGTATCAAGTGACTGGAGGATAGCTAAAGTGACATCAATTTTTACAAAGGGCTCCAGAACGATCCCTGGAATTATGAGCCAGTAAGCCTGATTTCAGTTCTGGGTGCACTGGTTGAAACTGTAATACAAAAAAAAAAGTGTCAGGACAAAGAGAGAAGCATAATCTTGAGGGGGGGAAGAGAGTCAATGTTTTTTGTTAAGGGAAATCATGCATTATCAATCTAGTAGAATTTTTTTAGTAGGTCAAGCAGTATGTAAAAGAAGGGATCCAGTGGATATAGTGTACTTAAATTTTCAGAAAGCCTTTGACAAGGTGCCTCGCCAAAGGCTCTTAGGTAAAGTAAGCAGTTAGAATGAAAAAAGGTAAATAATAATATCCCCATGGGTCTGTCCAGGATTTAGTCCTGTTCAACATATTCATAAATGATCTGGAAAAAGGGATAAACAGTGAGGTGGCAAAATATGTAGATGATACAAAACTACTCAAGATACTTACATCCAAAGCGGATTGTGAAGAGCTTAAAAGGAATGTCACAAAACGGGGTGACTGGGCAACAAAATGACCGATGAAATTTAAAGTCGATAAATGCAAAGTAATGCATATTGAAAAACATTATCCCAGTTATATATATAAAATAAAGGGGTCTAGATTACCACTCAGGAAAAATTACCACTCAGTGCTGTTACCACTCAGGAAAAATTCTGGAGTCATTGTGGATAGCTTTCTGAAAACATCCTCTTAATGTGCAGTGGCAGCCAAAAAAGCGAACAGAATCTTGAAAATCATCAAAAAGTAGATGACAGAAAATATAATATTTCACTGCATAAATTGATGATATTTCCACATTTTGAATACTGCATGTTGATGTAGTTGTCCCATGTCAAAAAAAAGGTGTACTGGAATTGGAAAAGGTTCAGAAAAGGGAACAAAAATGATGAGGGATATGGACCAATATCTGTATGATGAGAGATTTATAAGATTGGAACTTTTCAGCTTGGAAAAGAGACTACTAAGGGGGGATATGACAGAGGTCTAAAAAACAATAACTGGTGTAGAAAAGCAAATAACAAAATATTATTAACTCCTTCTCATAATACAGGAACTAAGGGGCACAAAATTAAATTAATAGGAAGCAGTTTTAAAATAAACAAAGGGTACATTCTTTTTTATACAAAGCACAGTCAACTGGTGAAGCTCTTTGCCAGGAGATGTTGTGAAGGGCAAGACTATTACTAGGTTAAAAAAGAACTAGATGAAGTCAATAGATATGAGGCAGAATAGGCAGATGGATCACTTTGATTTCCTGTTTGGTTCATTCCCTCCGA